TATTGGCTGTGGTGAATACCCTCATCTCCACTGTAGGCAGTGATAGGAACTCGGTATCGCCGTGAGATGTTGACAACCTTGACGACATCGTCCGTACTCTCTGCATGGACTACAACAGAGTGGGGAGAAGTTGGATGATACGAATTTTCAGAGGAACCGTATGTTTTCAGAGTGTTGCGGCCAGTTTCTACCCTGTGTTCACCCGGAAAAGCCTTGCGTAACTCTTCGATGGCCATTTGCACCTCTTCTGGAGTGCCATATTTTGAGCTGGTTCTCGATGTAGGATTGGCATTGTTTGAGGATTCCGAAGAGTCAGATAAGCTTAAGGTCACGTTGGAGTCAGACATTCGCAGCGAATGTAAGTCTTGTGTCTCATCCTCTGGCGGCTGAGAAGGAGAGGCGTGCAGCATTAACGGTGCAAGTCCAAAAGCCGTGAGTCCATTCTGAAAACCATATGCACCGATACCAAGGACAAAAAGGGATCCCAGAACCAGTTGGCCTATACGCCTCGAGTCCTCCCGTAGTCCTCTGGTGGAATAGCCCGAGTGAAGACCATTGGCACCTGCGACGGTTCCCGGTGAAGGCGCGAAGCGCGTATGGCGTGTTGCATTCAGAATTCCAGGTCTCGCCCAAAAGATACCCTTTGGACACTTGAAATGAAACATTTTTCGACACTACAATGGGAGATTATGTCAAAGGTGCTCGCATGGGGCATTGGCTCCACCAAGCGGGGTAACGTAAACATAGAAACATAGAAAGGCACGAGACCAACCTCGATTCACACAGGAATGAGAGGTATTGCAGCATTGCAATAATATTAATAATGTAATATGACGATATCGATATCAATAGCATCCTATAGTTAACTTCAGCAATAAGTTTACTGTAAGATTATAGCAAAGTTGTTTCTATTGCCCTGTCTGCAAACCTCTTTCTTTCGGAACTGGTCCACGGCGACCTCGTCTCTCACACCCTTCGTATAGAGCCAATACGCCATCTTTCCGCCTTTCTTCCATCTTTCCTTGACTTGCACGAAACCAATGGCTGTCATAAGTGTTTGAAGGGCATCAGGCGTAAGATATCGTGAGTTTTCGACACAAGGGAGCGGAAGCTACAAGAAACATTTCTCAGCAGCGTTATTTGCGCGAGCTCAAGATAAATTTAACGCACAGCAAGATATAAAAGACCATCCGAAGCGAGCATGGTGTGTGCCAAGCTCAACATGCGTCCTGGACAAGATATGGCTCATTAATATCATGGGATCGAGAGCACGAATGACATGTACCTCGATCTTTTGGTTCGGGAACATAGTTAACGACAAGGCTTAAACTGATAACGTTCCATTTTTCACGATGGTCTGCTTCGTCCATAAGAAGAAAATCTTGCTCTAGGATAGATGGATGTCGACTTCGTAGATCTATAGGCGTTACCGCGATCCAGGACGCACATGAATCATAATTGTCAGGTTTGAGCGCTCCCACTTCGAGAAGTCTAGTATTTATAATAGTTACATTCTTCGTCCCGTGTGTCATATGTACCGAGAACAGTCAAACTCACCTGAGTTTATTATGCCCTTCTTTTGGAGATACTCGTCTTTCTTTCAACCACCCAATGAGCACCTTTTCACTTCCACCACCTCGGTCTTTACCTTGACCTATGCTAGACATTCTTTGATACGCAGCCAGCCCTCCCAAACTATCGATCTCTTGCTGCACATCTGCCAACTCCTTGTGATCGGATGTACTTGACGTAGTACGCTTGAGTTGCTCTTGTTTCTTCAGCAAGACATGAAATTTCCGTATGAGCGTCCGGCTCGAGTGAGGATTGCTGGATGATGGCGAGTTATCCTTGCTGGACGTAACAGGTATTTTCTTTTTTCGTACAGTTGGCATTGTGATCCTGTTTCAGCCAGGGACAATAAACATCTTTTGAAACCAATGGATGACAATGACAAAGTGAAGGAACAAAAGCAGATGGTCGCAAACCCGCTTTGGGTCAGTACGATGAAGCGCGCGAAAGACACGCTGGACCCCATCAAAAAGCTCAAGCATTAAATTCACATGCTACTGTAACACCAAATTGCAAGAAAGCTCTTTCCTAATGCCCTGATAATCCCCAATGCCCTTTGTATTCGAAAGCGAAATAGTTGATACAGCATGTCCATTAAAAACAAAAACAAAAAGATGGCAGCGTCTAGCGCTAATAATGCAGATAATGCAAGCCTCCAGACCTTAAAAGTCGAGAAAATGCGCGACTTGTACCATTCTCCCAAAAGAACGAAGACCTGCCGCAGGCTATAGCGGCGATGGGTGTTGGAAAGGATATTGGAGTCAAGGTCGCCTCAGACGAAACCTTTGCCGCCGCGCTTGGCGTCGATTTTCTTAAAACGCTCGATTTCTTGTCTCTGCCATCCGAACATGATTAGAAACAGGGAACTACTAGGGGGAAAATAGACTCTCACCTTCTTTATTACACACATAGTAGCGAGGAACAAGCAGATAACAATTGCCATGAAACCATAGATCTAGAAATGACACCGTCAGTGGAGGAAAAGAATAATGGAAATAGGATTTACAGTGCTATACGATATCATATTAGCTTCAGTGATTCACGGATAGGGAAATAAAACATACCTGAAGACATTATTCAACGTCATGTCGGCAAACTTCGTGATTGGGGTCACACAGAAGCTATTCGCAGCTGCAGCTGCAGCAGCAGTTGGACAGAATGTTCCACCCAGTGCGACTTCGTCTGTTGCGCTGAAGTAGCCGCAGCACTTCAACTACAAGGAGCCGTCAGGGTCAGAATAACACATGAAGGCAAGAATAAAGCGCACAGTGTCTTGAATCTCAATCTTAATCGCGTCACTCTGTCTCCCAAATACTGTGTGATAGTTATTCCGCTCATGCAACGTATAGGTCCAGATGTAAGTGCCGATGACGAGAACTGCGATTCCGTTGATTAGGAGGACCCAGTTGAGTATGACGAGACCTATTGTAACATGATTTCGTTGTACGATAGCGGCGATTGAGATCATAAAAGTGACTAAAAACAAAACTCCCAAAAGCGTGCCACCTTGTTGTTACCATGAGAATGTGAACTATATGGAATTCTCAGCAAAAGACACGCACTGTTCAAGTCAGTTGAACTGAAAGTCAGGTTCAACAGGAGGTTCGGGGCACGCCAGACGATGGACAACACGAGGGAAAGGATTCCAGCGGCTAAGAGGAAGATGTCGAAAAATACCCAAGCTCCTAACAATTTCTTTGAAACCATGTTTGTAGATTTTCTAAATGATACTAGAACCATTTTCAAGCCTCTTTTCGTTGAGAGAGCGGAATTGAACGTACAATTGGTTTTTGGTAGTTTTGAATCGAAGTGACGAAGAATGTGTTGAAGTGAACTCTCCCGGAGAGCGTAAAGGGCCGACTAGCAGCTAAAAGAGCGTAATAAGAAAAATGCGAAGACGATCAACGCCTGGGGCCTGCTCTGCAGAAAGAAGAGGAACGAAAAGAGAGTAAGAAGAGGGACAAAGGGATTGGAGATGGTGAGGGACCCACGCAGACCCAAACCACAGGTTCTAACGCTATATAACAGCACACAGCAGCCGTTTAGGCGGTCCTCAGGCCCCAAAGAATATGAAAAATATGATGGAAGATGGTACGCGATGACGGGGCGATGCAAAAGATGGGAAAGGAATGACAGGCCAAGCGTCAAATGAGGCATTCTTCAGCATTTGACTTTTGACGGACTGAATTCCGGGAAAGTGGATCAGCCACAATGCATTATTTACAGCACAATTGTCTCCATGGTCACCTATCTTTTTTTTAGAGAGCTAGACCATACTCTCCTCCCCGTTGCCTTGCAGAAGCCTGGCATTTTTCTTGCCAACGTTTTTTTATAACTTGGCCACTCTTATCGCTGTCGTATAGACCTGTTTCTATTTCATCATTTTGGCTACACCGCAAATCCCCAATTAGTTACAGTTCAACAACGTCCGTTCGTTCTCACACCCAAATTTGTCGCCTCGCACTGCCTGCCAGTGGCTCCCATCAATCAGACTTTAAATCAAAACCGTAGCCAGGCTTTCGTGACTTTTTTGCATGGTCTCTGATCTCCTTCCTTTGGGAGGTGGCTCCCTGCTTTTGGCCTGGCAACTCAAAGATAAGCATGTCCTCATCGTCGGGGGTGGTGATGTAGCCTCAGGTCGCATCGAATCAGTCCTCGTCGCCGATGCTTTCATCACTATCGTCTGTCCCAGTCAGGGCCTTCATCCCCTCACAAAGCGCTTTATAGATCGCTCGGATCGCATCACATACCATGATCGCGTCTTCGCAGGCCCAGAGGACCTCGCCGCCGTCGATATGGTTTTGACGGCGATAGACGACGTGGAAAAGTCACGTGAAATCTGTTCTTTGTGCAGAGAGCTCAAGATTCCTGTCAATGTCGCTGATATTCCCGAGTCATGCGATTTCTACTTTGGCTCTCAAATTCGTGACGGTCCGTTACAAGTCATGATCTCAACGAATGGTCGAAGCCCCAAGCTGGCAAATCTTATTCGAAAACGTATTGAACAGAGCTTGCCAGAGCATGCTGGAGATGCTATTGAAAAAGTTGGCGAACTCAGGGCACAATTGAAAGAGCGAGCACCCGGTGTTGGTGGGGACATCGGGAAAAGACGCATGCGGTGGATGATTGATGTGTGTACGTCGTGGGATATGGAAGAGCTTGCTTTGCTGGATAACGCCATGATGAAGAGACTGCTCAATGATGGCTGGGAGAAGAACACAGTACCGAAGTTAGAAGAAGTGGGAGGCAGGGAGAGGCGCACTCCTACCATCAAGCCATCAGGGAGTGTCATTGTTCCCTCCGTAATTGGTTTCGCTATTGGCGCCGTATCTGTCGGGTTAATGTGGTGGACGCGACGGTGACGGCTCTGGTCTGCCTCCTCCTGTGTGTGCTATACCTCTTACTGACCAGAGACCAATATGAAGACATCAACTATCACTGTGGAAGCCGCGCCTTTTTGTGATAGTAAGTTTACCATTTTCAAGTCAGCCGTTTCCATGCGGTCAATTTGACATATTATTTTATTTGACAAGCAGGCGCCTCGATCGATGCGGGCTCAACAAATAGATTTCATATAGACATGTATCATAAGACTTCCGTTTCACGTCGCAATCGCTGAACATCATTATGGCATGGATTCCTGAAATTTCCAAGTTGGTGTGCTGTGCTATTAGGCCTTACTGTCACCAACTGGTCCCAGAGCTATGCATTATAGTCGTAATAGTCATTTGTTGCGACCAAGCCCGCCATCAGCCCCACTCCATTCGGTTTCTTACAAGCTGTTTTCAGTCTTCCCTCACGGCGACTGGACTATCGTTTGACGTTCTAAAGTTCATGTAGCAGACTACTGTACTACAGCAAGTTTCTTGTTCCTTGTCCCTTAGGCGTTAGCTGTAGGGTACAGCATCCGGGCACGTGAATAATGAATATTGAATCCGTATATTCGCTTCCTTTTTGCAGCTCCTGCATTTACTAGGTGGTCTTATCACGATCTTGATTCCTTGATTCTATGCGAAGATCAGTCCAGTCGTACTCAAAAAATATTGCACAGTTATATCTCTAGATGTCAGAGATAAATCTTCTTCATTTCAACGATGTATATCGCATTACTTCGCAGAAAATATACCGGACTCCAGGCCACCCCGAAACGATAGATGTTACGCAGTTTGCAACATTACTGAATGATGTTAGAGATCAATGGACGGAACGCGAAGATGGTGGTAGAGACGGACTTGTCTTGTTTTCTGGTGATGTGTTTTCTCCGTCTGTAGAAAGCTCTGTGACCAGAGGAAGTCATATGGTGCGTTGCACACACCGATTGAAACTCGGGACAGTCATAATCTTACAAATGAATGTTGAACCCGTAGGTGCCCGTAATGAATGCTTTAGGGCCCGATATTTCTTTAACAGGTGTGTTAAATGTGTATCACCTGTACGCCTTGTGATTGATTAATTGAGTTCAAAGGCAACCATGATTTTGATTTCGGTACGTAAATGAGAATGGTCAGTATATCTTGATACATTAATATTCTGACAGGATACCCTCACTTATCAAAGTTGATCAACGACACGACCTTTGTACGTTTTGGCATACAGATAAACAGTCCATATTTGAACGAGACAAACGTATAGCCTTGGCTGTTAAGCAACATTATTGATGATCAAACTGGCAGAGTTCCTGCACAATTGCATCGATTTCATGTCCTAGAGAGAGCAGGAGTTCGCATTGGTATAATAGGCTTAGTTGAGAGGTATGTACGTTGCTTCCACAAAACACTCCAGCTAAAATATACGAAGAGAGTGGATTACCACTGTGTCTTCATGGCCGCCGAATTTCAAGTATAATGATATGGCAGAGGTTGGCCGAGAGCTGTCTACTTTACTTCGAGATCCCGAGGGCCAGCATAAATGCGATTTTATCATAGCACTGACACATGCACGGTTAGTTTTTAATTTCGTTGCATCTTAACCATGTCACTTATGACTTGCGTTACATTCACAGTACACCGAACGTATGCATTCGTCCTACTGACCGGATATAGCAAGTAACTCCTGATATCTTACCTTTCAGGATATCGTTCTAGCGAAAGACCTTTTCGCTCTATCTCCCGCTCACCAGGCTAAGAGTGATATAGCATCGCAGCATGGGGTAGATATTATCTTGGGAGGCCACGACCACTTTTATTATGTTTCCAAGGGTGTCTCCGCCTGGGAAGGCTACGACACCAATGAGGACGTATTGGGCGCGGAGAACGATCATGGGGATGTTTTAGTTATAAAAAGTGGCACCGACTTCAGAGACCTGAGTGAGGTCACCCTAAAACTTCAGGAAACCCCTAAAGGAAGCGTTAGGAGAAAAGTCATAGGGAGTATCGGAGGTAAGATAGGGAGGACGAGCCTGCAGCGTCCGCAAAGACAGACTCATTCTGCGTGATATAGGAAAGAGACATCTGACAGTACCAGATATCGTACCGAACGAGAATCTCAAAAAGATTGTTGATTCTCAGCTTTCCGGAGTTGGTGACACCTTGAAAGTACCGGTGTGCATCACCAATGTCGAGCTCGACGTCCGTTCGCAGTTCATCCGTGTAGCAGAGGTGAGTGTCTAATCTATTTTCTTCTACCTCCTACAACTCGGTGGAAATAGTCAACAGTGGGAAATTGGATTGCAGACAGTATTCGGCATGCCTATGACGATGCACTTTGTATGCAAGGTGTTCGCGGATCGGACGGGGTGCTGATCTGTGCAGGCACTTTACGAGGCGATTCTGTTTACCCACCAGGTACATGTCTTGGTATACTTTATTTTGACCTATGAATACCAACCCTATGAATAGGTCTCCTGACACTAGGCAATATCTTGGAGATTTTGCCATTTGAGGATCCTGTGGTCGTTCTCGAATTGGATGGAGAAGTTATTTGGGACGCCCTTGAAGCGTCTCTTTCTACGTGGCCTGCCCAAGAAGGGTTGGTTCTTTGATTTCGATGTTTATGATTTGTTCTCATCCATTCTTTTTTCAAATAGGCGTTTTCCGGTTATATCTGGCTTCCGTGTTTCGTGGGACTCTCGTCGTCCACCAGGCCAACGTGTACTTGGAATATGGCTGCAAAAAGAATTAACCGACCCCCATAACGCCGATAATGATACCTCCAGCCCCGTAACACCTGTATTGGTTGATGGAGGCGAAATACGGCGGACGGATGAACGAAAATATATCATAGTGACCAGAGAATATATGGCACAAGGGCATGATGGATATGCGCCGCTGCTGGGACATAAATATCTCATCGACGATGAGAACGGACAACTGATGAGCGGTCTAATCAGGAAGTACCTGTTGGGTAAGGCGTGGTGTCGTTTAAAGGGACTACATTGACTGACGGTTGTAACTTTGATGCACCACTCAGGCTCCCGATACGTTAATAGAATGGCACGACTAGCAAACGGTTCTCCGGAGCACCTCCACCACGACACTGCCGCTATCATTGTTAGAGAAAGGGAACGGCTCAACCATCATAAAGACGACAACCACCTCAAAATTTCACACCAGTGGCAGCAGATTGCTGCTCGGGCTCTTGCGCAGTCACGATCTCGAGCACATTATAGTGATCACATTAAAACATCGGAACGGGAGCATATGAGTGATGTAGATTGTTTTGACGGACAGAAGGCGCGTAGCGGACGTGCTGAAGATGCAGGAAAGAAATATGACGGGGATGAGGATCTACTTATCATCCACCCTGTTATCGATGGCAGACTGAAAGACGAAGGTAGGTGAATACCGCTGTCAATGACCCCTGTACGACGAAAAAAGGTCGTATCTTTTGGCTGTTATTACCAGTAAATGTATTATATTGGTAGTTTTGGTAACACGTCCTACTAATGATATCTCACCGGTCAAGTAAATACAAATATGCGCCATTGATAATATCGGGCTTTGATGAGTCATGGGATGCAGGATACCGAATGATGTCATATTTCTTGAGAAGAAACGGGCATTTGTGGGACTTCGACTCTTGGGGCTGGGTCACCTGTGAATGTTCTCCCATAGTGTGTCAGGAATCCTGCAGCAGAACCAAAACCTGCGCCTCCCAATATCACTGGAGATACAATTTTAGGCATATAACTGAGGGTGCTAAAGTCACGCACGATTTGCTATGTTAGCTCTCTTCCAGAAGATGGCAGGGGTTAATACTGCAAACAGTATAGCACCAACGGTGGAGTGGTCATCGGCTCTGAGCGACGACGTCTAGACAGTACCGAATTATTAGCACGGAAAAGGCCTTGCCGAAATAACATGGAAGTATACATCGTATGCATGACGCATCCTCCTTGATCTAACAGTGACTTCGTTCGAATTAATAGACCGTGCGTACTCAAGTGCACCCCCGCCAGCACAACCTTCATCATGATAAGCCAACCAGACTAAACTTGTGAATAGTTATGCATACCAACAGCACCACCTAGCCATGTTGCACGAAGGAGACGGTTTATGGTAAAATGACCTCTTCCTTTCCGCGCCAAAATGAATGCGGTGTAGATGGGTGGGGTCAACAATGAGAACAGCTCATAGCCTTTTGTCATAGATCGTCGAATCAGAACTTCCGTGTCAGCTGCATGAGCTGCAGAGTATGCGTCTGATGCCATAATCCAGATTTATTGTAGCCCAGTAAATGAACAAAGAAAGACACTTGGACAAGCATTAGGAGGTGTTACATCACGTGCCGCAGGCAACTTGACTTGCCCTAAATAACTGCCTCGAGCGCAGCAGCGGTACTTTGCTTTTCTTACCACCACCACGCTCCGCCAATGCTAGCTCTTGCTTCAATGTCGGCCTCACCTTTTATCGACACATATGACGCCCCAATGTTGGATTTTGCGAATGACTTGGATGTTCAAATGAACATGCCAGGCTCAGATTCCTTTTCACCAGAAGCAATAATGGAGCATGATAGCCATATCCTTGCTACCACTGAATCCCTTTTTGCAGATAACGAGAGTGTAGAGGTGGATATGGAGTCTTACGATGGTGTAAACACTGAGTACGAGATGGCGGATGAAACAGAACATTATTTACATTATGGCGACGAATTATTGGACGTCGAGGTCCACGACGCCTCTGCCACGCACTCGCCCTCATTTCCACCCCCCGCCGATATCCCTGATCCAGTACAGGACTTACACGCGGAGACATCGATTCACTCCTCTCCAGCTATAATGCACCCATTACCCTCAATTGATGGACCTGAATTTTCCCATCATGATATTTCGCCAGCGGTGGGTACTTCCTCGAATGAGGAAGCTACCGTCCATCTGGACGTCGGGCTTTCTGATGAGCGGCCATTAGTTTACGAACATCACGTTGATGCCCCAGAAGAGTCGGTTACAGTACAACCGGAAAGCTCAAAGTCGGCAGTGGATCATCTCCCTCGATCCACCGATGATAATCAGCTCGAGGAAAAGAGTAACACTGCCGCATCTTTGGGTCTCACTCATGGAGCAGATGAACATCAAGGGAGCGCTCGTGATGATGGCAGCCTTCCTTCTTCGGTACCAGAGACCCACCTTATGGCTGCAGTCTCAGGATCTAGTGACGAACCACATAACGAAGTCCTATCCGCGGAACATGATTCTGCCCATAGTAATGCAACTGAGCTTCAGCATGATCATACGGTGCCATCAGAAGATGCTAACGATCCTCACGAAATTTCGGAAGGTGTCTACATTGATCCGCCACCTGCTGTTTTGCTGTCTATTATTTCGGCGGACGAATCTAAGTATTGCCTTTTCAACCAACCGTCTTCTGAATCTGGCCATCTCAGTCATGTTGGGTCTCCTGATGCTGTTCCTGTAGTTGGGCAGGAAACGTTGACGTTGTTACTTCATCATCGACCTACACTTTACTACGAGCCTTTGACCAACGTTTTCGAGGCTTTTCGACAAGAAGATCTGGTTGCCCAGATTCCCGATGTTTTGGAGGGAGAATTAGTCCTCGACGCTTACGACCTACAACTTACTATTTCTGAGGTAAAATTGCATTTCAACAAACTTTGCAATCAAAGTATAACTAACAATCGGTGTTCCTTGCAGGATAACGTTTATGCTCGTGAAGTCACCTTGCATGACCTGAATGTTTTACACGATGGATCTGACATTACAGGACCTCTTCGTATTCAGTTACGAGTTGCTGCGCCAAGGTTTATTCTCCGTTACCACCTTCTGCAGGATCAAATTGCGAGAATCAATTTAGCTGCTGAATCAGCGGACAGTAATAACAATCAAGCAGGTTTGTTTACTTTTTTGTTTTCGTTACATTACATTCTAAACTAGACTTATCTAGATCAAGTGTTCGGGGAAGAAAGCCTAAATGAACACAATAATCAAGAATTGACTGCTAACAATGTTCATCATGATGACCAGGCAGAAAAGCATGTCGCAGAACAGAAGGACCTAGGTCCCTCAGAGGCTTCAGAACATGTCTCGCGAGAAGAGGAGAATTACGAAGGCAATCAGACTCTGCTACCTGAAGCTCAAGAATACGAAGGCTATGTCCAAGCAGAAGGTGAAGGTGCAGAATCACTCGAGGAAGATGGTTTCAGCCCTTCCCCAGCTGGCGATGAGGATGCGGAAGGTGAAGATCTTGATGCAGATGCATTGCACGACGTGGCCGACACGGATGCTCCTGTGCCTGTTACAGATGATCTTGTCAACTATGACGGAGAGCATGCTGAGTACCAAGATCATGTCCAGTTGGAAGAATATGACGAACGCTATGGTGAGGACCTTCCAGAAGGAGCAGGTGGTGAGCCTCCCGAGGATTATAATCATGCACCGGAAGAAAGCGCAGCTCTCGAAACATATGTCGCTGTTGATGAGAGGCAGGTTGCTCTTCCAGAGTCTGATACATTAAATGAAGCCGCAGAGGAGTCGGTATTTGGTGAAAATGAATCTTTCCCCCAAGACAAACAGGTAACGCCCATAAGTTCTGCTGGTACGTGACATGTGTTTATAAACATGTGAGGCTTTATAACTAATTCTTCTTTATAACGTAAGATGATCAAGATTCTAACCATAATACTGTTGTTGATAACCCAGATTCCAGGAATCATGCAACGCAACGAAAACCAGGTTTGAGAAAGTGTCTCATGTAATGTTATTGGATATTCTAACGCAAGAGTCTATTCTAGATGATGTGAATGAACCCTCAGAAAAGGATGGCCCCGTTGCACAAGGCGGCGTAGATACTTTGGATATTTCTTTCCCAACAGTCTCTGAGCATGGAACCGAAGCTGGTAAGTGGCATGTTGTATGATGATATCTTCTTCTCAGATTTTGACATTCTAATGCCACAGATCTTGCCACAGAATTGAGCACCGATTATCCAGAAATCTCGGGGCATGTGTACGGCGAAGCTGATGATCAGAATGAGGACTATGGCGAAGATTGGGATTGGAATCCTGATGTCCAAGGGGAATTCCATGAAGACTGGATTGATCCAGAGGCAATGTCGAACGAAAGTTCAGTTACTCTTTCCAGTAAAGCATCAGCCAAGAGAGGACACGATGAAGTTGATGCAGACGATTACGACGAAATCTCCGTCCGACAACCACCTAGTTCACCAGGTACGACATTACGAATCTTGTCGTTAGCCAGTTAACTAAAAAAAACTTTCTTAGGATCAAAACGACACCGCGTAGTATGATAATCGTGACACTTTGCGCACACGCCTTAAACTATCTGCACCAATCACCTTCCTCTCACAATTCACTGGCTCACGTTCCATCTATCATAACGCCTGGAGCTTCTCAGCTCCATTTGCGCCCATATATCATCTTCCCCAGCATACCCTTTCATCAAGATCGAATCAATTCAGGCTAAGTGCTTATTTACTACGGCATTGTCATCTCTTTTCGCCTTTCTTTTCTTTATTATTTGTGCATTGTATCCATAACTAACATTTTCAGCGAGGCTCCCATTCAGCATAGCCAAAGGACATGGTGTAGGGCATGTGGTGTAAGGTGACCGAGTGGTAGAGTGTTTAAGGTTTTAATCAGTCTAAAAAGTAGTCGCGCGTGTGCTGTGCTCCAGTATAAGCCGTATATCGTAGTATTGTATGAATTTATGACGTTGCTGAACGTCAAAGTTTCTTAAAAGTTCAGGACACCAACTTGAAAGTTTGTTACAACCCGTATCGGAAATATCCGGTGGCCCGTGTTGCACCCCACACGAGAAAAGACCGCCGTTCAGCGGTCTCAACAAAAAAAAAAGATCTGACTCGGGTCGAGCTACTTCGGACTGTTCTTTTGTTTCTTTATGTCTTCTATGATAAGCAAACCATAAAACCTCGACTCGCTACACTGACTTGTTTATCAAATCGTTGTGTATAGACTGGTGCCATAATCAATAATATCTAGACTCGGAGTATGGCAGATGCTGATACCGCTCGTCTGTGTGTTCAAATTATCCATTCACACTTTGGTCCCCTTACAGCAGTGAGTTTGACCTGTCTCGTTAAACGTAATGCTATTGAACCTTTGAATGCTTCCAAAAGTCTGTAGCTTCTGCCTTGCTAACGCGAGGGCGCTTGCCATTACTGCAGCTCGTTCGATACACTTCGTTAAAGCCTCGCACAGTGCGAGCAGCTGTGTTGATTTTGGTACAACAAAATATCCTATGGCATGCGCATTCAGAAGAGGAAGGAGAGGTGCTGGAGGTGAATACTAAAGAATGTTTGATGAGATTGAGGTTTGGAAGGTTCGTCTGGCAAGCCGAACAGGTGTTTGGTAAAGCAGTACGTTTACGCGTCACTCTGTATCAGGGGTAAGCGCAGATATCTGAATTATTGCATTTGTTCCAGGCTGCTGAAATTGTTCAGCTTATTCTGGATCATGGAAAACTTCGTCCGGTAGATATCGTTGCCCAACTATCGATCTATGACCCAAAAAGTGAGTATCTTGCCAATCTCTCCTGTATCACAATACCAAAAGGTATGCATTAGGTTCGAGCATGTACTCACAGGCGCTGCATAAACTGGTGACTGCTTCGTATTTAAAACCGTCTACAATCTTGTCCCATAACTCCCCACGGGACAAGCGAATCAGATATGAAGGAGAAGAGAAAGCTAAGATATCCGGTTTTCCGACGGCTAAAGAACTGCGGGAAGCTAAGGAAACGGCGGCAGCGCGTTTGAAGCGGGAAGAGGAGGAAGCCGAAAAGATTGGATTGGTCGGTACCTGTTACTTCCCCAGATACATACTTCGTGTAACTCATCCAGGTGTAGAAACGAAAGCCGAAAGAGCAATCCAGCAATCGATCAAATAAAGTGAGTCTCGCATTCATATGATAGCATGTGATACCAACCGCCTACATTGTCAGCGGAAAGCAGTGGATGAGGAAGTTTTCGTTGACGTGAGTCTAAGGTTGCTTTTCCGTGCACATCCTAAATAAAATGTTACAGGATGAAGTGTACTTCAGAGTGAACTTCGACAAGTTTAACATCCATATACGCAACAAGGTAACCCGAATTACTCTCATGCCGGTACTGTTATCTCATTCTTAAAACCTAGATCATTGAATTAGCCGTAAAGGAACGTTTCAATAGTAGCGCTGCGTTGGTCATGCGAGCTGCTCTGAAGGCAACAGAAGCGAAACAAGTCAGTTCGGCGAGTGTGCGTTCAGGTACGTTCTTCTCTGTCCCTACGTGTCTGCATTACATCCATGTAACGTATTTCTAGACCCCACATCCATTGCAGGGATCTCAATGCATGTTGACGATGCCGATGACCTTGCGTCGGGGCTTGTTACATCTTCGAAAAAAGCTCCTGTTGCATCACTGGTCAAAAATTATCTGGGCCTATTGTCCTCGGCAGATAACCCTACCCCGAGCGGTCAAGCGGCTGCCTTCGTATCCCTTTCAGACAACAAGGTTCATGTCGAATTCGATGTAGTTAATAAAAGGTTGAGAAGACGTGTATTAGAAGCTGTAACGAGAGAACGACACGGCGATGACGGTGTACGAATTTTGCGACTGTTGTTGGATACCGGCAAGATGGATGAGAAACAGGTTTGTTTTATCATAAAATTTTATAAATTGTGAGTATCAATGCTTTGCAGGTTTCGAAGGTGGCAATGATGGCGAATAAAGACGCTCGACCACTGCTATCTGCACTTTCGACGGATTCTTTGATCTCAATTCAAGAAGTGCCAAAGAGTGCTGACCGTAATCCAACTAGAACATTCTATCTGTGGTTTGCACCTTGGTTTTTGTTCCAGTGTTTTCCCTCACGATATCGACCCTTTTCTACAGGTTTGTGGATCTACCGAAAGCATATTCTGTTTTACTTGGAAGCCTCTACAAAACTCTGTATAATATCAGTATGAGGCGCCACGCAGAGCAAGAAGAGTCGAACGTGAAAGCGGTACTCGAGAAGTGTGAAAGGAGCGATGTATCGCAGGATGAAACCTTGCTATCGAGGTTAGAACGAGAGATATTAAAGGATTGGGAGAAGAAGAGAGAAAAACTGATGGTGCTGGAAATGCGAGTTGAGGAGGCTGTCTTTATCCTTCGAGACCTTGATTCAAGCGGGACAATTGATGATCTTTGACTATTAGACTGCTCTGAGCTGATTACCCACATCTCTACTTGAGTTTTTCAGCCATGTGAGGATAAACGTACAACCTTGGGTTATTCGCTGCCACTACGCAGCGAGGTGTATGATTGATACTATCAGCATTCCACCAGCATCGTGGCTATTGTATAGGATCCCATAGCCAAACCCGCAGCCTTTTTAGTAAGATTCTATCTAAAGCTTTACACTCCAACAGGGCATTGAAATTGCTGTTACCACTACACGACAATAATTTACTGTCGTCAAATGTCTGCTGCTGACTCTGCTCGGATTTACGCCGATTTACAACAAGACATCCCTTGTCACCCTGGCCCTGACTGGACGCGCTTTGTCTGCATATCAGACACGCATTCTGAATTGTTCGATGTTCCTCCAGGAGACGTCTTGCTACATGCGGGAGATTTGAGCAGCTGGGGATCTTTTCCTCAACTGAAGGTGACGCTAGATTGGCTCGGGTCACTAGAACATCCCGTCAAAATGTAAGTGCAGAAGTTGATACTATAGTTTTTCTAACGCATGCGTTAGAATAATTGCAGGAAATCATGATGTAATGAGTGGAAATATACTCCCCTATCCTTGCGTCTGATGTTCATTTGTTCATTTAGCTAAGTCTTGATGAGGCATGGGGAGGAGCTTCGGATTTTGGTCTTCGCGTAGAGGTATGGCCCAGGATATCTCCATGAGATGATAAGCAGCAAATCTTATATGATTACACGATTAGGACGTCTTGAATGCACGGTCATATATTCGTAGCCAAGTCATGAAGGATGCTGGCATACATTACCTAGAGCACGAGTCGTTTTGTTTTACAACTTCGGTGGGACGAGAGTGGAAAGTATATGGTTCTCCGGTGAGTAAGCATCATAGGGTCTCTGGACACTACACGACACCTCAAACATTCAAAGGCTGCACCAACATATGTTCAAGGTTCTTTTCAGTACTCTAACTCAGAAGAAGGAAACGGTATGGGTCACATTACTTATGTGCAAGATGTAACCGAAAGTTCAACTTGAAAATCTGTAGCCATTTACAGCCGCATACCATCCGATATTGATATACTTATTACCCATACTCCTCCTTATATGACGCTGGACAGAACGAGGAAAGGCAAGCATGCAGGGTGTGACATACTCTCAGCGAAACTAGAGGAGTTGCGGAAGTGCAGATTGCATGTGTTTGGGCATATTCATGAGGCATATGGAGCTTCAGCGAAATGCGATGATTCTTCGAGAGAGATCAAAAGGGTGTCGGTGAACGCAGCGGTAGCTCGAAGCGAAACTGCGATAGTCGTTGATTTGCGAAATTGAATGAAACGTAGTCCACAATATGAAAGGTTCTGGCTGGTCCCGAGAAAATGCAGAAGGTTCCAACATTCAGAACTGAGAATATTCGAGCGAACAATGGTTTAGTATACATAAGACAAACAATATGGAAAGAAATAACCCCTACAATCTAAGCTGTTGCTTTACCCTTCTTAGCAATTTTAATCCCCAACTTATTCTTTAGGTCAGCCCTTGGTTTCTTTGCTAACTGTACCCCAGATGATTTGGAGTTTAGAAGCGATCGAGTATTTTCTGACAGCAAACTGTGCAAGTCCGGTTCGACATCGTCTGCCTTCCGTTTGACAGTGACCATCTTTGCTGGCTCATCCGACGTTTCTGAATCTGGAGAGCCTCCGAGAGGTGCAGGCATGGTAACTTTCGAAAACACCTCTCTGACCAGCTTCTCGTCCTCCTCTTCCAGACGTTTCCGCTCTCTATCCTCTTCAGTCTCAATCTCCTCCGCACCTAACGTTACAACAAGATCAACAGATTGCCCCACCCTCTCATTCCGTGCGTTCCGCGCTCTAATATCCTGCAGAGCATCTAAAATATCCATCTCACGCTTTGAATCAACAGTACGATTCTCGAGTGCCTTCATCGGGTTGTTTTCTTCCTCTTCCAAGCGAGCTAGCCGATCGACCTCTTCGACTTCCTTTTCATCTCTCCATGGTTCGAAGTTTCGGGATGCGCCGTGCTCAGCAGCGTAATCGGTGTTCTTGGGATCGGTTTTAAAGGTAATTTCAGCAGAGCAAAGTGTACTACTTGCACTTTAGTAGGAGTGAAATGTGAGACTTACGATACGCACCATTTAATGTAGAATCGGAATATCTTGATGCCATAATAATCTTCGCCTTCGACGGTCTCCTTTCTTGCGTTGAACTTCTTTCCCTTGTAAACATATTCTCCACATGTATTGCAACGCCTAAATTGAATTAAATTATGTCCAATGTGAAAGATAATAGCGACTGACATTGAGAACGGAGCCATGAGACGCACGACCTGCTGCGAGTTCTTTGGCTGCTTTCGCCGGGGAATGAGGGAGGGGTCGAAATCGGGGGGGAAATATTTATTGAGTACTAAAAAGATAAAGTAAGATCCCTGTCTGCCATATAGACTAAGCATTCCTCTTACCTTTTCGTTCAGACATAGCGGCTTAGATTAAGTTACTATACAGCAATGTGGTGGTTCAGGACAAGAGCTATTGGCTGCCACCCGGCGGTACCGACGGATTGAGTCTCCGATTGCCTCGACGCGTTCAAGAAATTTCCCGCCACTAACGCGCTTGCTCCTTACCACATTCTTGCCTGTGTGCCGCCGCTGTTTCTTGGGCTGTTGTAATACAAAATGTCGCAGGTCCAATTGAACAAGTCGCTGTTTAGTAATCGAGTCAAGACAATCTATGATAACTGGAATGTGGGCTCTCTTTCTACCCGTGCTTCGGTGCAGTTGGCTGAAACAAAAGTATTGGTCATCTAGGAAGCAACTCAGAACGATGAGTGTGGAGCAGTAGCAGATGCGGATGCCTTATTTCTGTTAGCTGGAGATCCAGCGGGAGAGGACGAACCGATGCGCAAGGGTACTGCATTTCAGGTGTGTGCATTGGAGTTGCTTCATGTTTCCACTGTCGCCTTACGTAGCCCTTTGCGCAGACATGGCTACTTGGTTACGAATTTCCTTCGACTTTTATATTGTTCCAAAAAGATAAAGTGTCTATTCTATGTTCCGCCAACAAAGGTAAAGGCCTCCGTTCCGATGGCGCTTGATTGTTTGTGCATGACATCAACCGTTTACAGCAAAACTATTGCAACAAGTAAAAGATTCGGCTATCGTACCCATAGAAATCCTTGCCCAAGCAAAAGCAAAAGAACCTCCGAGCGATGCATTTCCTAAATTTGTTCAACTATATACATCCTGCAAGCGAGTCGGCACTCTCGTAAAGGAATCACCTTCAGGGAAACTCGTCGCTGATTGGGAGAAAGCGGTCGGTGATGCAGAGAACAAGCCTGAGCTTGTGGATTTGGCCCCTGTCCTGTCTATTGTAATGGCAGTGAAAGACGAGGAAGAGCTGGTATGCACGACCCTGTCTCCCCATAGTCTCTCCTTAAAGTATTATCCGCCAACAGAAATGGACACGGATAGCAGCCAACCTGACATCTACGTTACTTCAGCATCATATCGCGGTAAAGCTAGAGATGATATTGGACAGAGAAGCGGTGATTACACACGAGCAGTTCGCCGCTCAAATCGAAGCACGGCTAGGAACCGAGGGTACCAATGGTGGCAGTGGCAAAGGCCCAGATATGAAGTTGTGGGGAAAAGGTAGAGGATTGAATGAGGTGAGCTTCTCCTGTTGTCACATATATCACGAAGCCTCAGCATTATACATATAGGTCGAGTGGTTGTCGGCAGAATTTTGTTACTCCCCTATTATTCAGTCACGGTCTACGAAGCAGGGATACGACTTGAAATCTACTGCAGTGTCTTCTTCAGATGCAATCGCCCATAAAGGTGTTTTTATAATAGCTGTCGGTATGCGTTATAAGAGCTACTGTGTCAATATGGGTCGGAGTATCATCGTTGACCCCTCAAAGGTATGTAATTATTTTACATATACATTTCCAGTTATATCTTGCTCATATAAAATGCCAGGAACAAGAAGCCATTTACAATCTCCTTGTATCGCTGCAAAATGATTTACTCGCGCAGATGAAGGACGGTGTAATGGCCCGAGACGTTTATCAATATGCCCTGGCACAAGTAAAGGAGAAAAAGCCCGAGTTGGAGAAAAATTTCGTGAAAAATGTGGGATTCGGGGTGAGTAAAACTAACTTGCATGCCAGTGTATTTGTTGCTTGACATTTTTAGATGGGAGTGGAATTCCGAGATTCAGCATACTTATTGTCACCAAAGAACTCACGTCGGCTGAAGCCAGATATGATCTTCAACTTAGCCATCGGGTTTTCTGATCTCGAAGACGAGAGTGGCAAGAAGTGAGCAATCAGTTGGTGGCTCAGTCTAGAGGCTAATACATTTCTAGATATGCTCTTCATCTTGTCGATACAGTGAGAGTCGGCCAGGACAAAGCCTCACTACTCACGGATGGAGTCAAATCTCCCAAGGACACGCTTTTCTTCTTAAATCTTGACAACGACGAAGAAGACGTCAAGCCTTCCAAAGCCCCTAAAAAGCCACCGGTGAAGCCGATCACTAATGGCTCACCTGTGAAGAACAAGACGGTTGGTGGCAAAGTTTTACGGAATAAAACACGCAGTGCCGCTCAGGAAGAGGTACTAATGACAACTGCAGCAAAAATCAAGGAGCATCAAGTGGAACTTCATGCACACTTGCAGTCCGAAGGTATAGCAAAATATTCAGAGGAAGGCGGCGGAAGCAGCGGTAAGGAAGGGAAAGGGTGGAAGCGCTTTCAAAGCTATAAGGGTGAAGCAGCGCTACCGAAAGAGATTGATAATTTGCGGGTCAGTTTCTTCTCGCGAATTTGGTACAAGTCCACCCACTAAATCTTAATCCAACAGATCTTTGTTGATCGTAAAGCGCAGACCATCATACTGCCGGTACACGGCTTTGCAGTACCATTCCATATTAGTACCATCAAGAATGCCAGCAAAAGTGACGAAGGTGACTTCACCTACCTTCGGATAAATTTCCAAACACCCGGTCAGCTTGCTGGAAAAAAAGAAGATACAGTCAGTATATCTATTGCTGACCTTGGACGAGTCGGTTAATGCAAAATTATATTTTTCCAGCCGTTTGAAGATCCTGACGCTACATTTATTCGCTCCGTGACTTACCGTTCGCCAGATGGGCACCGTTTTGATACTGTGTGCAAACAAATAACTGACTTGAAGAAGGAAGTGAACAAACGAGAGCAACAGAAGAAAGAGATGGCGGACGTCATTGAGCAAGATGTGTTGGTAGAGATCAAAGGCCGAAGACCACACAAATTACCAGAAGTCTTCGTTCGGCCTGCATTAGATGGTAAGCGGCTGCCGGGAGAAGTAGAGATACATCAGAATGGCCTGCGATATCAATCTCCTATGGGTTCGCAGAAGATCGGTCAGTTTATTCTATCCTGTTAACGTTTTCATTTCGGTGTAACCGGCTCTCCCCCTCACAGATGTACTCTTCAGCAACGTCAAACATCTCTTCTTCCAGCCTTGTGATCGTGAACTATTGGTGATTGTTCACGTTCACTTAAAAGCTCCTATCATGATTGGCAAGAAAAAAGCCCATGTAACTATGTTTGACCTCGACATGCTAGGGGACCCTTTTTGAACGGTTTTGTTTCAGGACATACAATTTTTGCGCGAGGCCTCTGATGTTCAATTTGATGAGACTGGTAACCGAAAACGCAAACATCGTTATGGTGATGAGGACGAAATCGAGATGGAACAACAAGAAAGAAGGAGGAGGCAAATGCTAAACAAAGAATTCAAACTCTTTGCGGAGAAGGTAGCTGAAGCTGCATCAACCTCGGTAGGAAAAATGTTTACTCTCTACTCTTTACCGGCTTCATGTTGTTCTGCAGACTGGAGACGCACTGGAAGTTGATATACCATTTCGAGAACTCTCGTTCGAAGGTGTACCATTCCGCACTAATGTTCGTCTTCAACCGACTACGGAGTGCCTCGTCCATTTGGTGGATCCTCCGTTCCTAGTGGTTACTTTGAATGATATCGAAATAGCTTCGTTGGAGCGTGTGCAGTTCACCCTCAAACAGTTCGATCTCGTCCTTATCTTCAAGGACTTTACAAAACCTCCTCTGCACATCAACTCTATACCTAGCGCTCAGCTCGATGATGTTAAGAATTGGCTAGAGTGCGTATTTATTCTCTGAGACGATACAAGTTGTCCGTGTTCATTTCTTGATAAACTAGTTCCGTCGATATTCCGCTCAGCGAGGGACCCGTCAATTTGAATTGGGGACCCATTATGAAAACGATCAACGAAAGTCCATATGATTTCTTCCAGCAGGGCGGCTGGAGTTTCCTTGGAGGTGGAGGGAACGAGGTTAGATATTCGATTCATTTTTATTTGATAGCCCTAAACTGGAAATTTTGGGCAGAGTGATGCAGATGAAGGCTCGGACAGCACGTCGGAATTCGAAGCTGACTCAGATGAAATGATATCAGAGCAAAGTAGTGACGAAGAGAGCGCATACGATGGATCTGACGCAAGCGCAGACTCTGGCAGTGGATCCGACTTTGATGATGAGAGTGATGATGGTAAGAATATTCCGTGTTCATTGACTCCTTTGGCGATACTGATTTTGGCATTAGGTGACGATTGGGATGAACTCGAAAGAAAGGCGGCTAAATGTAAGTACAGTAATTAACCGCCTCAAGCATGACGTCTGATTTTATGCCGATTTTGCAGCTGACCTAAAGCGTGTGGAGGGCAAAAAACCGCAGGACTCTGACGACTCTGACGACGATCGACCAAAGAAAAAGGCTCCTGCAAAATCCTCTGGTAAATCTGCAAAAACAGCGAAGACTAATGGGAAGGGCAAACGGTGATTGAGGGGTAATGTGTATCATATTTCTAGTTTGCAATATTTACTATTTCCGTCCTCTTTTTCTTCCTGTGTATTATTGCTAGTATTCCGTTTGTTTATCTACATACAGCCTATTGCAACTTGAGTTTACGTCCCTCTTGCTTGCCTTCTTGGGCATTCAACCTTGCTTCCCTCCACATGTAGGCGCCCGCTATGGCAGCTCCAGGCCCAAACGCCCCAGTTGCAGTGACATGCCATACGAGCAGTACGATGAGCTGCTTGAGGTTATCGGCAAACCAGAAAGTGGCCAATACGCTCGACATCCCGCCGAATATGAGGTCCCATTGGATGAAATCACGAACACCCTGCTCAAAGTTGGCAGTTTCAGGAGAAAGCGGGACTAAGGAAGGTATATAAAGGGCTTTAAGGAGTTCGTGATTTTCGATAATTGGCCAATGCGTGTAGATATGGATAACGGCTGATGAGACGAATATAAGGATATAAGTGGCCTGGACGATTTGGTATCCTGACTGCGTCAAGCGAGATGGAGAGCGGACCAGACGGTGCATGAAGATGGCGAGTTGCATGATCAGCGGGAAGCCTTGCCAGATAGCTGTGACTATCGGATCCTCCATGACAAACATACAAGCGGATGGTATGATGAAGCCGACAATGAAACTAAAGAGCAAAGCTTCTGCGTTTCCCTGGTTGATCTTTGAGCTACCAGCGCCAGTGTTTCTATGACGAGTGGCCGCTCCAGTAAATATAAACGCTAGCCAGTAAACTGGCATCACGATAGCCATACTCGCTATTTGATAGAGAACACCGAATGCAACTGGGAAGCGAAGAGCGATAGGAGGCTCGTCACGAGACGCTTCAAGGTATGGAACGAGAGCAATGATAGCTAAACCAGTCATGAGATCACCGACGAAGGGGCGGAAGGAGGGAATCATGAAGCCATGGAAGAACGTGACTAGTCCGCAAAGTAGATGGTCAACATCAACGAAACCGGTGTATAGCAATCGGTAAGGTGAAGAGTTTGCGTCGATGGCAGCATGGCAGAGGGTTTGCGATGTTTGCATTGCACCAGAAGAAGCGAAGTTGCTGAAAACCGTGCGGATTGCTGCATAACTGATGGCAGGGAATATAACAAGAGGTAGGAGCTTGCCTACAACCCGATCCACATGCGTTAGATAAGGAGGGTCAGTAAAAGAAAAAGATGTCGGCGCACGAGTCACTACGTCAAAAACTTTCATGCTTAGATCCTTTTCAGTAATGTTAGAAGATTTTCATGGCTGCGCCTTAGAAGCGCTGTCTTATACGCAGAATAAGCTGTGTCAGTACTATGAACAAAGTCATAAGGAGCTGTCGTTGAGAAGATGATCGAAATTGAAACACGCACTTCAAAGCTAGGTCGAGTTCGTTGCAGTCTTAAATAGTTCCTTGGAATACGTGAGCCTTAGTATGAAATATAGTACTAAGCTAAGACTTAGTTTGCACCCGTATTCGGCGTCGCGGACAATCAAATAACAGAACGCCGAGGCCATTTCCACGCTTGCCACGGCGTTCGGCTTGCGCACGCACTTCAGACTTGCCCCGGTTCCAATCACAAGGCAATTAGCTGTAGAAGCAAGTAATAGGTTATTCGAACGACAAGCCATGGGATCTATCGCGGGGGAACAAGAATTAGGACCAGATTACCAAACCATATTCGATCCTTCGACATGCGTTCGTAGAGGCTTGTGTCCGGTCACACAGATTCGAAACAAGGGCGATCCATTCGAAAGTCATTCGCTCTATTTCGAACAGCACGGTAATGGACCAGAGAAAATTGTTTTCATTATGGGGTAGGAGGGTTAATTCGTATAGACAAGAGCACGGTACCAACGTCTGCACAGGCTCAATAGCAGCTCATTCACCTGGGCGCCTCAAATTGATCATTTTGGACGTATGTCAAAGTACTCAGCTTTGGTCTTTGACAACAGGGGTGTTGGCCATAGTGGATCTCCGAGAGGCCCATACACGTTCGTACCCATCGACTGCCGGTTTCCGTAAAACTAATAATTGTACGCGAGATCAGAACAAGTGGTATGGCCGAAGATGTCGTCACTCTTTTGGACTATGTAGGCTGGAAAGACGAACATAGCTTGCACGTAGTTGGTGTGTCTCTCGGTGGTATGATTGCACAAGGTAATCAAATTGACTTGTAGCTTTGGGGATTTTATGACTCAGTGCGACTCATCTATGGCGGTTTTCCATCATTATAGAACTTGCTACTCGCATACCAAAGAGAATTGCATCCCTCTCTTTAATTGTAACCACAGCGGGTGGAAAGCCTTGGACCAATTTGCCTCCGGTTAGTCTGCTTCACTTTTACTTAGATATGCCAGATTAACTGGGAATCAGTGGAAAGGAGTCTCATCACTCGCAAGGTTATTTAATATGGTCTGTGAACTAATTTGGTTACTCATTAATGACTAGACTCCTCGCTACTACGGAACCTTCCGTCAAAATACCCATAATCCTCGATATGTTATTCCCTTCATACTGGTTAGAGGAGAAGGCGGGGAATGACCCGTCAGGCCGGACTAACAGAGAAGTCCAAAGCGAGGTAAGGTTTTTATTTATTTCGCGAGATAATCCCATCAATGATATCCTCGCTTTTTTATAGACGTATACCAGAAGAATTGAACTTACGCGGCCTCAGACTCCTATTGGTGCTCTTTCACAAATGTCGGCAGGCCTCACACACTATGTCAGCAGCGAGCGCTTGCGCACAATCGCATCGTCGATTCCAAAGGTGCTTATACTTACTGGCGATGAGGATCACCTTGTGGATCCGCGCAATAGCATTCACTTGAAAAGCCATATGCCCTGGGCTGAATATATACGATGGGACAGGACTGGACATGGTATAGCTTCCCAATGGAAAGCGAAATTCAACGGTTTACTAGAAAGAGTATTCGATGAAGGAAGGGACATAGTAACAAAGAGGTCAAATCTCCTGCCTGAATAAATTTATAGAGCCTCTGTACTCTGATCTCACTGTGGTTGCTAGGCCAGCAAGGAATTATGTTGTATGGTTGCATATGTAGAGCTGGCGTTTTGACTATCACTGTCGTCCTCTTCAAACATAGCATATAGTCAACAACTTTACGACGAGAAGCCTGCACAGACAGTGGCAAGCTGAAAGCCAGGTAATAGTAATAAGTGGCAGTTACATCACACCAGGCACACAACGGTCAGTATTATGATAGCACAGTCGACTTGGGCCCATAACGTCATTTACATTATGCAGACCTCCCCGTCAGTAAGGTAAGGTAGACATCACGTGGCTGTTTGTAGAATTGCAACGCTCACCCGTTAGTCCAGAATGGAATACCTGCTAATCTCTTCAACTATGCTGCCCCAGCGTCCGCCATTCCAAGATCTCATTTCCTCCCACTGATCCTCATCAAAGAGAACGCTGAAGCTCTTCATCCATGCAGCTACGAGGACATCTGCATGGGAGAACGTATCTCCCATAAACCATTTACCATCGCTCTTTGAATACCACCCATCGATGATCCCAAAGGCCACCTTTATGTTTTTCCAGTCCTCATCTCGCTTTGGGCCTACCGGCGAAAAATCCTCCCACTTGGTACCAAGTGTAGCCTCAGCTTTCTTCCTAAGATACTCCTCGGTCCTGGGATACAGCTTAGGGGTAGCCATGACAGCCATTACCGGGAAGACAGGGCCTAGGGTGTTCATGAGAGCAGAATCAAAGGCACTGATGAGGGCTGTAGTGCCGGGGGGGAAGACAGCGGGTTTGGACGGATACGTTTCATCGAGGTATTCTGCGATGGAGAAAGAGTCGGAGACAATGGCACCTGTAGAAGGGTCCTGGATAGTAGGGAGAGTGTAGAAATCACTTCCGTCAGGTTTGCGTCCGCTAGGTTTGGCGCCGATGGCCTTCATCCGCTCTTCGATATCGGGTGCTTCAATCCAGACAGATTTGAAGGCCAAACCTTTGTAGGCAAGTATGTACCTACAACGACGAACGCGTGGGTCAGACGTGTTCACTGGATAGAAATGACGAGTATAAGTGCGCTACTCGCCTTGCTTTGAACATGTTGCCAGAAAAAGCTTTTCCGGGCACTTGAGCTGGAATATCGTATAGTATAATTGGTTGAGACATGTGTAGAGCCTGAGGATATGAAGTGAGTGTTGATCTCTAATGAAGTGTCTGTTGATTAGTCTGGTCCGAAGTCAGGCTGTTTCCCTAGTAACCGCACTGTATAACTGCTAGAGCAATCATGATGTGATAAGATATGTGATAAGATAAGATAGCATTGCCTACCGTGCACCCCCGCCGGGCAAAACTCTTTACTGGTGATTTTGATTGGGTGATGCTACAGTGAATAGTTTTCCAATGTTCAGCATTTACAATATTGAGAGGGTGTGTCAGATGTTGCACCATTTAGCAGCATTCACATCATCCTGCACACAGAGTCCATTGGAGTGAAGAACAGTTGTCATTAGTGTAATTTTTGTAGCTTCAAATTGGTATTCATCATTTTCTAGGGTGTTCACATACATTGTGAACTACTTTGATGTGCCATCTGACATCTATTGCATAGAACATTTCCCTGTTAATGTGCAGAGTGGCATGTTCAGAGATGTTGGGTGGGTGCTTTGAAGTGTGCTCAACCACAAAAAGAGCATCACAAAAGAAGAGAAAAAATCGGCATGAGGAAGGTGTGTGATGAAGTGATGAATCAGACTGACAACCAGTAAAACACCTCACCTAAGACAATTATAATATGGAAACCTGGATCCTGTGGGTCCAGGAACAACCACTGAGTACTATTGTTGGACAAATGGGCTTGCACCCGTTTTTGTGAGGAGTGAAATTGCTCACCAGTGAGTGGAGCTAGAGTCTTTGGAAGACCACCAATAGTTGTTATTTTGAGTTCTCTAGGTCCCTGTGTAGCAATAAAAGTGTGAGTCAGGCATCTTGTTGCAGTGGAATGAAACCAAAACGACAAGGTAGATTTTGGAGCAGTCTTGCAACTACTTGTCACACTTGGTCATGCACAGCACCTTCAACAGAAGCAAGCAGAGCTTGTCGGCAATATTCAGCCAAATACATGCCAAATTTTAATAATTATGTTATAAAATCCTCTTTCTTATAAAAAAAATAAAAAAATAAAATTTAATCATATGAATTAATACAAAATATAACAAGTTCAGATGCAGTTGTGGGTGCAAGTTTTCAACCAAAGTGCAGAGCTACTGGGCTTCAATGACTGCTTATTTGGGTCATAAAGTCACAATTTCTCCTTGTCCTTCTATCTGCAGGTGCCTCAAGGCTTTCATCAACTTGGTAAGCACCTGTGAGGAATCGATTTTTCTTATCGCATTCCCGTCATGTCGTGGTTAGCAGACTCGATCCCTGTCACTCCTCTTGCTCTTGGACTAGAGATTACAGCAGGTGTTTTATTACTTTTATCCTTTTTCTTCTTATTCTCTATTCACACTCACGTCCTATCGTACCTACAACGAAGGAGACTTGGTAGACCCTCGAGAAGATATCCAAATGACATAGCAACGATCCAGTGCTATGTCTGGGAATACTTCGGAGGAATATTGATAAGCGAAGAAGGTTGTGAGTCAGCACTTTTTCTTCTCATGGGCTTACTGATACAGCCAATTGTATATCCCTTACCAATTCATTTTCTCATACGATTAGTAAATACGATAGATCGGACCACCTTCTCCTTTTTTCTTATTGGTTAGCTAGCTGGTCAGACCACTTTCTCAGTTATTCCCTTTCTCGGTCTGACCATCGCTGTTCACTATATAAAGAAGTACATACTCGATGTATTGTTCTCTAGTTCAATATTAGTTTGGATTTGCGCTTATACCGATACTCTTCATCCTCATACCCTGATTCACCGCCTTCCAGCAAGGACTTGACCAGGCATTGAGCTTTGTTATATAGCTTCGTATTTGTTGCCTGACAGCACCTGGCATGGTAAGGCTTTACCTGTTGACATTTCCCAGCACACGATCTGCCCCGATTTAGCCCCTTTTGCCTCAAATTATGCACTTTTGGAAGTCAGAATCATAGTGTCAGGTCTGTTTTTATTGCTACAGGTAAGATATTCACAAAATTCTTTTACAGATAGGTTTGTTACATTCTATTCTACCTCTGACAAGCTTTTAGGGGCTTGTGCAACAGTTGTTGAGCATATAGATGTTACAATAACACAATTTTCGGACCTTTCCTTTAATTTTCATTCTCCGCTTTAACCTTTTACTATAGTTCACACTCCGTGCCATGCAGCACTTTCCTTTTCGTTCTAACTCCACCTTCTCGCGCAGCGCTGCCTTTATTCTTCTTTTAGATACAAACTCTCTCACGCAGTGGAGCTGGTCACATGGGCTGCGCCCTCTGACATCATCAGCCACTGCTTATATCAACTGTACAGTACATAGGTACAAACACTCTGTATTAGTATAGGAGACTCCTCAGCGAGTCCTCCTGTTGTATACCAACAAACTCTCTGCAGCTTAAGGGGTAACCACTCCCTCTTCACTACCTTTATAGTGTGTTCCTGTGTGCGCCAGAGTAACTAACTCTTGGTTGTTACAATAGAGGCCCAAGAGCATATAGGGTCTGGACTGCAACATCTGTCCAACAATAGTAATACATCCAGTAACCATCCAGTAACACTCCATATTGAGTATTATCACAAGCATTTTCTAGAGCTGTTGATGATGAGAACTGTAGTTAGAAAATCACACACAAAACAAACTAACACACAATCCTCCCAGATTCCACGGAACTTGTTTATGGGCTTTGCCTCCTAGAACAGTGGAGTGGTTTGGTTGTTCATGGGGTGGTATGTATAACAGTCCTTCAAAGTCAAACCCAGAGATGTATGGGTGTGGGTTTTGAGGAGGAGGGATAGTTGGAATATAGAACATAGGGGCTGTGTGGCAAGGATAGACAAGTGCTACCTTGCTAATTGTCCCACAAGGTAGGTTTGAAAATGATGAGGTGACAAGGTTATGAAGTTCCCAGTGATGAAAAGCTCCTGATGCACAGACTGGGTGGCTCAGAAGGACTCGCATATCTAGGGATAGAACGCTGAATGTCTGTGTGAGATCATGTCAAGAGTGAAGTACGACAATGGAATCAAGTCAACTACCATAGGACGAAGGTCAAACTCATGTTGTCGAGGGAGGATGCCCGTATAAAAGGGTATGG